CCATCTTTTTTATAAGCCCCCTTTCAGTACTGATAGGCTGCAATAAGGTCTTCCCAAAGCCTTCTCTTCTCTAGGCTGAACAACCCCAGCTCTCTCAGCCTTTCTTCATAGGAGAGGTGTTCCATCCCCCTGATCATTTTCGTGGCCCTCTTCTGGACCCGCTCCAACAGGTCCGTGTCTTTCTTATGCTGAGGGCTCCAGAGCTGGACGCAGGACTCCAGGTGGGGTCTCCCCAGAGCAGAGTAGAGGGGCAGAATCCCCTCCCTCGACCTGCTGGCCACGCTGCTTTTGATGCAGCCCCAGGATACGATTGGCCTTCTGGGCTGCGAGCGCACATTGCTGGCTCATGTCCAGCTTTTCATCCACCAGTACCCCCAAGTCCTTCTCGGCAGGGGTGCTCTCAGTCCCTTCATCCCCCAGCCTGTATTGAGCAGTAGGATAGAGAAAGGGTTTGATCCAGTTGCTCTTTCTTCCTTCTTGTTGCAGGAACAAGTAGGCCTTGCTCCATTCCCTTTTCTTACCCTATGGACTTTCTTTATTGTTTTGTATAGGTTTTCTTATTTCTGAAATGTATTAATTAATTAAAAAGTCCGGAGATGTTTCTACCTTTTCGATTTTTGCAGGAGCATCATGCTAGCAGTGAAGCCCAAAGGTGGCATTTGAGACCCCAGCAGGGAACAAACCTGGTCAAATTTTTCATCAGTGTGAACCAATGTTGTGTGCCTATGCCTTTGACAATGTTAGAGTTGTGTGTTTAGTTTATACAGTTTTATTTGGTGATAATTGGGCTTGGTAGTTAAATATTAGGTGGTTGTTGGCCATCCTAGCCTTTTATGGGAAATGATTGTTTGCTTTTGAAGTTTCAGTAATGAGCATGTTCGATGTGTTTTGTACCTGAGGGCTTCACTCTCAGATGCTCTTCCTATGTGCTGGGATCGCTTTTTGGTTTGGAAAGAAATGGTTGCAAATATTTATGGTTGTTTTTCACAGCAGGCAGTTAGCAGAGATTAGATTTTAACTCCCAATTATTACATTTAAATTCCTCCTAGAATTTTTTTGTTCCTTTTAGTTTCATCATCTTCCAGCTGCTGTAGGGTTGAATAAAAGAAATTATCTGATCAGGGCATAGGGCTTATGGTGATGCTGATATTGGAACTAATACTAAAATAAGGAGGATTTAATGCTGGTTTCCTGGTAAGGTTTTGTTTGTGTGCATACATTTGGGTTTTTCAGGAGAGGAGGGGAGCTGTTGCTTTTATATTTTTGAGCAGTAATTGAAGAGAGAGACTCGGAAGGGAAAGCTTTTTAATTTCTCACTAGTTCCTGCTCTCAAAGGTTTATATAGAAAATTTTCTGTGAAGCCACGGAGCCATTCAGTTTAGCAGAGAAAAAAAGGTACGTGATTAGAAGTGGAAAAACTAGATGCAGTTTTCTATTGCTTTCTCACTTTGGACACTGTGGATGAAAGCCCTCAAGTGGGAAGAGCTTCAAGACTTTCCCTATGACAGATTGTGCTTTTGAAGTATAGGCGGTGCAAGGGGGTGATGAAGCTGATTTGTCTGGGATTTAAGTAGTTGAGGTCTTGAAGTTGTTGCCTGCATATACTCGATAATACAGAGGACTTGATTTAGGGGTGTGAACTGTGAACTAGTGAACTTGCAAACATGAGACTGTCCTACATATCACCTGTACCGGACTATTTCTCTTCAAATGATAGCGAAGAGACTTAGTAACCAGTCCTCAGTAGCTGTTTCTTTTGCTTTTGTTTAATCCTGGTAGAGAGGTAATGATTTTTATTCTCAATCAAGATAATCTCGCTCTTAGACTATAAAGCTATTCCTTCTGCAACCTTGTATTTTGTCTCCTTATCTGCAAGAAACGTGCCAGTTAGTATGAAACCCTCTGGTTTGTGACATATGTTACAGATGCAAAAGGAGTTTTGACTTGTGAATATTTAAGGAAAGGTGAAAAAACTCTATGTAAATAAAGATGCTTTCATAATTTTTTTTTTTTCCTTTAGACATGCTTCCTATTTGAGAGCTTTTGCAGGGTTACCTGAGGTTGGTTAGGGACTTAGATGAAGGCTTCCCCCTGCAGATACAATGTTCACTAGTATTTGAGTTCTAAGGTTGGAGTCCAGTCAAGGTATAGATACTGCAGTTGAAACCATGCAATAATATGATGTGCTTTATAGATGCAAAAGTACCTGATCTTTTGTCGGGCTCTGCTGTCTCTTGCTCCATGGGATGTTTTTCAGTGATTGATCTGATCTGGACAGCAGGACACAAAGTCAAGAATCACCTGTCTGTAGAAAAATCTGAACTGTTTGGGTAGAGGCAGTGGAAGGGAATAATTTGTCTCTTACTGATTTCAGCTTATGCTTTTATTGTGCTTGATTGCACTGTGAGATGTGGAAAGAGCTACATCGGATGAGAGGGGCACTGAGGTGGTGTTTCATTGTCATTGTGATTATAAATATCTATAGTAAGAGCTTTATATAACAAACAAACAAAAAAAAACTTTGGGTAAGAACTGTTCCAAGTATGGACAGTGTTTTAAGCAGTCTCCTTCCTCAAAGGCTGCTGGTATAGAAGTTGGCAGAATAAGTATGCGCTTCAAAATAAATACCAGTTTTTAACTAAAGAGAGGTTGGAGTTTTAAAGATGAGCAGAGTATTTGCGTGGTTCTTCCAGCCTTCACAGTTCTTTGCTCCTTCTTCTGCAATGTGTATGTCTCTCTTTTAAAAAAAAAAATAAAAAATAGTCATGAAAAAATAACGCACACCATAGTTCACATGTAACCCTGGAAGGAAGAATGATTTGGAAAGAGAAGTGAAAACGCCTTGCTGCTTTGTATATGAAAAGACATTATTGAACACTGTAATTATAATAAAGCCTGAACAAAATAAACTGTTCTTCAGATACCGTGGATTTATTTTAGGCTGAAGCACAATTTCCAGGCTGAGCCCTTGCACATGCTTGCCACGGCTGCTGGTTTGCTTTAGCAGGCAAACCGATGGGCATTTTCTGTGCGCTGAGCGAGCTGGATGTGGCAGGAGGTTGCTCAGGGCGAGGGTTTGCAGTGCCTGGACATTGAGCCGCCTGTTGTGTTGTTGATTTCAGCAGGGGGGAGAGGATGCTGGCTTTTTTCACCCAGAGGGCCAGCCCCAGCGGCCTCAACAACCCCTGGAGCCGAAACAGCAGCCAGTGCGGAAGGTCACATTGACAAAGGGAATGCAACAGCAGCAGCACCAACAGCAGCAGCAGGCACAGATCCATTCACCAGCTCCTCAAGGAGTCAAAAACATCCAGGGAATCCATCAACCTAAAAAGGTGATTTTTTAGATGCATATTGCTGCTAGAAGTTTTACTGTCTAGCTGTGTTGCTCTATTAATAACCAGCATTCTGTTTGTCAATTGCTAGCACAGGGCTGCATGACCCAGGAGATGCATAATTGCATATATAGCTTTTAATCTAGAGAGGCCTGTTTGTACCCAGCACAGACTGGAGATGCCTCCAGGTGGTTTCATCTGCTGACTTTCTGGCCAGCACAGTACTCCCCGGGGGAAATGCGTGCGTCCCAAAATAGCTACTGTAGGAGATGGTATCCAACATGCTTTCTGGCTTTAAAACCAAGAGTTGTTCTGAAGTTGTGCTTAAGCTTTTATTCCAGCAGTTTCCTGAATATGTAGGAGCACACAGTGACTGTTTCAGGATGCTCTTCGGTCGATCCTCAAAGTTGGTATTGCTCAATATAGTTGGTGATCTCGTAACTGAATGTTCGTACTGATCGTGCACTGGGAGGAGGCAGGGAGAGGATTCGGGTGGCACTGGTGTGTGCCTTCTCTGCATTTGCAAACTGGCACGCTCTCTGAAAATAGCTGGTATTTTGGCTTTTAAGTTATTTCTTGGTTTTGAACTGTTGGCTATAATCTTCCTGCTTCATGCAAGGATAAAGTTTCCTTGCTGATGGGGGTGTGTGTGAAAAGTTGTTACCTTCCATAGGCTTTCCAAGTAGGAATCAAGAAACCCTGTTGAGTGTTAACTCAATGTTAAGTGTTAACTCTGTTTAATGTTTGTTACTCTGTTTCATTGTTATTTTTCCTCTCTCCAACTGTTCAACCTTTAATTTACAAGAATTAAATCCACACATTTCCTGCTCCAGAGGATACTGTGGTGCCAGATCCTACAGGATTTGGGGGAAAGAAACTGAAAAAAATTGCTTTATTTACCATATGCGAGTACTCCATCCTGGTAACAGCCCAAGAGTTGGTAGCAGTAGATACTGGAGGCAGCTGAAGCAGTTCGCTGGTCTTGTGGGTACATTAAATTTACCTGTGGGTTGAGAAGAGAAAAAGGAGAGGGATCACTGGTTGGTTTTTGGCCAGACTCAAAATACAGGAGCTGAATCCATGCTGCTAATGTGATCAGTGTTGAAAACTAGGTTAGAGATTTTGGTCTGAGACCCTCCACTGTTTGGTCGATCCGTGCTAAAGCTGAGGCTTTTAGCCTCAATGCAGTATCTATAACTCAATATATAACTTGCTATCCTTCTAAAAGAGGTTTGTGTATGCAGTGGATGAATATGTTAATAAGTGGCCTTTCAAATCAGCAAACAGCAGCAAGCTGTTTTAAATCAATGCGTACTTTAATCAAGTCTTTAAGTAAATCTCCAACTTTTGTATCATCTGTCAAATGCAATGAGCAGAAGCACTAGGTAAGTAAATCAAAATACTGTTACTTTTGTTGTTGGCAGGTCATTATGCACGGCAGAGGCAGAGGAGTAGCAGGCCAGATGGGCCGAGGACGCTTGATGCCAAATAAACAGAACCTGCGAGTGGTGGAGTGCAAACCTCAGCCCTGTATTGTGTCAGTTGAAGGGCTTTCTTCATCAACTACTGATGTCCAACTGAAAAACCTGCTGATGTCAGTGGGACCCATTCAGGTAGGTCAACCTCAGTTTATCATTTTTGTGCCAAAAGGCTTTCATTCCAGAAAGCTCAATTAATTCCCTGACACTAAATACAATGTATGTTTATTGGTAATTTATGTTTGAAGGCACCCCCACCCACGCACGCTACACCTGGTAGCAGACACAAGCACGTGATGATATTGCGGCATGGGAGGTATGGTAGGATTTTGCTAACCATCACGTTCCTGCTGCAAAAGTGTCTCCTTCATTTTGGAGTTCTTGTACTATGTGTGCTATTTTCTTAGACCACACAAGCATGTCCATTCTGTGAGGTTGTTTAAGCCAAATGATCATATCAAAGCAAATGTATTTTTGGCTGCTGTCCTTGGTTTTATTGTTGATTTGCACCTACCCTCTTTTTTTGACCTTTACCTATTCCTGTCATTGCAGTCCTGGGGTAAGAGCACTTAATGACCACTACTCAGTGGAGATTTTGTGCCATGTAGCACCATTTACCTTTTCAGATGAAAACAGTCTCCTTTTGAAGGATTTTCTTTATCTTTTTTTTTTTTTTTTTTTTTTTAGAAAGTTCTCTTTAGGAGGGGCCTGTGAGCAAGGTTATAACTAACATGCACACACTGAAGCTTCTGTTGTAAACTGCCTCCTGGAACTGATGTATCAGTTAAACTGACTTTAGGAAAACAGGAGGTTTTCAAAGCACTGAAGGGCTTAGGAGGCCCTGTCTGACTTACAGTTAGTACCTTTGAAAATACCAGTCAATGAATAATGAAACATACCGATTAGGAGAATTTTTTCCTTCATTTTTTTCAGCTTTGGGTGCTCCTTTTGACAGGATCAATGTTTTCTGACAGATGCAATGCATGAATTGGAACTATTCTGTGAGAATTCTTTGGGATCATCTCTCTGTTGCAAAACACACTGCCCTCCTAAAGATGTACACTCTGCCTCAATTCTTCCCAGTTTAGTAAATGGAATAATGCTGAATTATTTACATGGTCAATTCAGAGAGGTTTAATTTGTTTGTGAAAGCAAAAATACTCTCACAAAATACTTTGTCCCTTCATGTTCTGTAGTACTCTAGGAAATTATTCATACAGTTCCAAAGCACATTTATTCAGTGTTTACTTGCTAAATCTTGCATGAGAATATTAGAAGATTAATAGAAACCCTGCTAGGAAATACTCACAGTTGAGAGAAGTTATTGAGAATGTGCTAAAAAATTTATTCAGTCCTTGCTGTTTCATAGCAAACTCCAAACTCTGGTCTCTTAATTCAATATCACAGACCAATTTAGAAGGGTGTGCTTATAGGAAAAAATTGATAACTAATTTTCCAGTGGGATTTGATACATCCCTGTGCCCTACAGAACTTGCATTCTTGCAGCAGCATCAGCTGTACCTTTGGAAATTACGGTTTCTAAATCATCGTCTATTTTCACCTGATCAGAGATCTAGAAGTCGTACTTGAAAGAGATGCTTGAATTTAGCTAACGATGCAGAAGGTTTTTGTGGTAATTCTGCACTTGAATTTCAAATCTGACTTGTAGAAGGCTAGAAGTTTCCTGGCTTGTTTGAGACTGATGTTTCACAAGTGTGGATAGCGAGATATGCAGGGGAGAAGTGATCCTTTTGTAGGAAGAATATGAGACTGGGACCACCGTATGCGATATTTATCTCTCTTTGGTTTGGGGGTTTTTTTTATGGTACCGTGATGTACCACAGAAGTGTGGTACCACACACCAAATGAGGAAGAGGCAGCAGCAATTTTAAGTGCCTTGTGAGGCAAGAACTGAAAACAAAATGTTTGAAAATCTGTGTTGTCCCTGTTCACAGTAATCACTTCTATACAGATGGTGCTGGATTTTGAAAGAGGTCAAAATCCTGGAGTGCACGAGTGGATTTTCTTGTGGCTGTAAGTTAATGTTTTCACTAGTGTTTGTGCTCAGTGCTGTACAAATTCCCCTGCAACTGGAAGTGGTCGGGAGGCTGTGACAGAGAAGGGGTACTCTACTTGGTTATTTCCTCATTCTTCCTTGAAAATGCGTTTCGTATAAGTGACTTGCAATGAGAAGTGCAGAAGTGAGCCACTGAAGAGAGCCAAGCAGTGAATGGAAGGGTTCCTTGCCAGGTGGGCTTTGGGGATTTCACGCATGAGGACAATAACGGAGAAGCAAGGACAGGTAATGGCCATGACCAGAGCAAAGAGATCTCGGGTAGTGCAGAGCTCTGATCTTCTAAGATGAAGTGTTGCAGCTTGATGAACTGAAATAGGAGGGATTTGGGGAGATGCCTGTTGTGAGCAAACAGCAAGGTGAGAAATTCTAGCTGCTTTTTTAGAAATTAAGCAAGATGCCTAGATTTTTAGGTGATTCAGATGGAGTTCAAGAGACAGTGAGAGGAAGGGAAGGTGAGTCAGTTGTAGCTGACTCCATCTTTAAGATGTGGTATATCCTGTCTTTAGCTGTTGAGTATATTCAGCAAAACTTTCCTTAATGAGCTGAACTCTGAGACATTAGTTTCTTGAATTGTATTTATCGTGGGGGGTAGAGGATATGTGTCAAACTCATGCTTATTTTTCGCAATTGTAAAAGACCTTTCAAATCTGAATCAGAACTTAAGAAGTTATTTCCCTGCCTGGATGGTGTCTCGAAATGACACATGCTGATTATCCAACACCAAATTCCTGGTTTAAGGTGAAGATTCCCAAACTGTAGGACATAGGCCTCTAATGGTAAGCAAGCATCTTGCTTCAAAGGGATGTGCAAACGCAGCTGATAAATCTGAATATTGCCTCTTGTGAATCAATCTCTGCTGCAGTCAAGACATGAACTTGGGAATGACAGCACTGAGGCATAGCTCAGAAGAAATACTTCCCAATGATCTCTCTGCTCTTTGACAAGAATAGGTCACGAGCATTTGTCCCACCTGGTACAGGAACTCTGCTTAATCTGCACCTTCCATACTGGTGCATCTGTAGAGCAATTGATCCCACACCAGCTCCTGTTTTCAAATATATAGTTTAGCTCCTGATTTTGTTGCAGTATGCATATCCTACATGTGTTTTCTCAGTCTTGGACAGAGAATCTTCGCTGGCATAACAGAAAGTTTTAGCGTATTTATGGAAAAAGTCTATAGTTTATCAACAGGGTGAATTGGGGAGGAAGAGATTACTTTGTTTTTCTGGGTACAAAAGGGTTGGATTTTTATTTTTAGTTTTTTTATATCAGTATCACTATCAAGGTACAACTACCTTGCACGAACCTTGGGAAGGGAAGTTGAAAATTTCCCTCAATTTGATATCCAGTGCTCCTAGCTTTACCATCAGCTTGCATTGAGGTGATGGTTCTGTGAGTCAGGGTTTGGGAATAGCTGGGCATGCATAAGAGAAGGTGAGGGAGATTTTTACGGTTGAAGTTGGAAACTTACCATTTTTTCCCTTCCGTACACTAGAAATGGAGAAAATTCTTTTCCCGTGTATGAGCTTTGAAATACCCTCTGTTGCCTAATCACTGAAGACTCTTCAATTCTCATCCTTGCTTCATTAAAGCTGTTCTGTTATTAACATAGGAGGAAAAAAAATACCATTAAGATTCTCAAGATACTGAATAGAAGAAAATCTGTGGGGCTCCAGGAACAGCCCCTTAGTCGTAGCTGCGTTTTACAACTCAAACACATTTAAATTAGCAGGAAAAGTACTTCCTTTCAACATACGGTTTGCTGTCAGACTCTTTCTGGAGTGGATAAGCTTTCAGGTACAAATAATATAGCTGCAATAAAATCTGAGTGCTGAATCTAAAATAATTACATACTATAAATAAAATTATGCATTTCGAAGTGTTGGAAAGTGCAGAGGATTTCTGAGCACACCACCAAAATAGAGCCTCCTGGGGACCGCGCTGGAGCAGTGACAATCCGTACACATCCATCCAGAACCACTTGCTAAAGTAGATTACTAATAAGTTGCAAAGGTCATGAAAAACCCAGTGTGGTTTTTTTGGTGCTCTTGAATCCGGGTTTAATGTCTGTACTGTCTAAAGAGATTTATGTTCAGCTAGTTATTGCCACCTTCAGATATTTTTTTTTTTTTAGGGTGGTGGCAGGTAGAGGGGATCATTTGCTAGATCTCCAGATAACTTGACCACTGAGTGATCGTTCTGTGGTGGTGTTCCATCATCATCTTTAATCATATTTTCTTACATCAAATGGTTGCAAACATAAAACATCAGTGCAAAATCTCAGTATTGCTTTGTGAAGACTTAAGATCATAAATTCTGATGTTAAAAAAAAGGGGGGGGGGGGGAGAAAATCTCAAAAAAAACTCCACTGTTGTATATCAGAGGTGATGAGTGCTGCGATTGTAGGTGTATTTTGAGTAGTTCTACAAATACGCATTTTACTCTGATAACGCAGTCCTTTCTTTTCTGGTCTCAGAAGGGAAATATAATTGCCATGTTGATGTGCTTCTCTTCACTTCCTTAGAGTGACAGTGCTACCTAGTGCTCAGTTAGGGTAAAGGCAGCTATCTGCACTGACACTGTATTCAAAATCGACATTTATTTTTAGTTTAAAGGCTTATCAGTGCCAATGATGAGCGTGCCCAGAACATGCGTGCTCCTCCAGGATCAGCAGGGCGGTTCTCCGTGTGACATGGCAGACAAAGCGCGCAGGGCTGGTGTGGTGACCTGTGTAGTCTTCCTACCTGTAAAAACATTTTCAGCCAAGAGTTTTTGCCAGCTCCATCGACTGTGGGAGAAGACATGGGCAGTCCGGCTCCATCCTTGGGGCTGGGGGAAGAGAAGAGCAGCTCTGTAATGAGCCTGTCCAGTTCAGCCCTGCTGTGGAGCAGTATGTGAGCTAGAGACGCCCATCTCAATGATAGGAGAAGATCCCTTCTTCTCATCTTGCATATGGAGATGGAAAGCTGAGCACTTGTAAAGGCGGATAGTAGGAAGTCAAAGGTGGCAGAAGAGCAGGAAGGAGGGACAGAAGGTGGAAGAGATCAGTTGCCAACAG